AAAATAATTAAAGGCCAAGGTGGTAATCAGAAATAACCATTTATTCCTGATATATTGAGATTAATATGTACATTTTCTGAGTCTCTATTGTATACTTACCAAGTTGTCCTTAATTATCACTTATTTATGTCATATCTTACCTCTTTTCTGAACTATCAGCTTGCTGAGGGGATTCAACAAATACTTACTGAGTAAACATTGAAACTCACAGAGCTATGTTATGTGAAGATAATTAGATATTTTGAATTAAAATAGATATATTTTCGTGAACTATGCCTACCTTGGAGCAGGTTTGTTTTTTTAGGTTTAATTCAAGGTTGAATTGTACCTAGTCTTGTCTAATATAGCCAGTGATCTCTGAAATACGTTAGATTAAACCATTAAATAACAGTGACTATAATGCAATTACATTCAACCTCTTCTCAGCAGGATCAAAACAAAAATGTAGTTAAGCATCACTAAAGTTCAAGAAAAGGATCTTAATAAAATAAGAGTACTAACTTATACCTGAGGCTCTTTCTACCTATGGATTTAAAATCCATTGAATTGGAATACAGGTTGCCAAAGAATACCTTATTATAATCAGAAAAGATTTTGATAGGTTAGTACCCTCAATTTTAAGAAAATAAATGGCACAAAAAGTGGAATGAATTACCTTGACATAAATTCTTGGCTCAAGCAGAAGTCAGACAGTAGCTGAAATTTTAATAGTGGAATAACTTCTAAGGGACAAACTTTAACTTGTATTAAGCTTTAATCATAATAGCTATAGAGATGAAAGCTAAAAAAAAAAAAAAAAAATAAAATTATTAAGCAAAAGCGCACTAGCCCTAGTCCTCATACTGGACATTTAAATTGGTTTCTTTATCTATAGTGAATATAAAGAAGTCTGTGAGCCATGTGATTTTTACTTATAGAAATTTGTTTCTTTTTAAAATTGGTTTACTCTGCCCAGAAATTCATGCAATTTATTAAGCCCCAGGTAGAAGCTGATGAAGAGGGAATATGAAAATGCCAAACAAGATCATGATGTTTCTTTTAAATAGTCTACCTAAATGAATGAATCTAGTGGTGTAGCTCTTACTTAAGAATAATGGGCTAAGCTACAAAATATTAAAAAGGAAATTGGAATTACTGGAAGGTTAATAAAGATAAATGAAGCTAAAGAAATTCACCTTGATCATCTGTACTATCAATTTCTAAATAACAAAACAAAACACCATAAATTGAGTCTCAGTGTTGCAAATAATGTCTGTCTTGACCAATGTTAATAGTTCTTTCACAAGAAAATGACAAGTAGATTACTTTAAGCCCTAGAGAAAAAGTGAGGGTTAATCAGTTTCAAGATAGCTACCAGAGGACAGGATCTCTCTCTCTCTTCTTTAAGGCAGTGTATGGGCGCCTCAAAACACATGCTATAACATTGATCATCTACACATCAAGAGATTTGATGGTGAGGTTGTTAAATCATTAAAGGGCAGCAGGGAAAGTATTTCTGGAGAAGAGAGATCTTCAGCATCCATAATACCACTAAAATTACAAAATGTAGATATATATCAACCCTAGTTGCCCACAGGGCCAGCCTTGATAGCAGCATTCATTTCTTAGGTTTAAATGTAATTTTCTTCGTGTTTCAACTTAACATAGAATGAGTCAATCAGGAGAATTTTAATTAGATACAACAAAATAAGCTGATCCTTAAAATTTACATTGGTTTATTAAGATGGTCCCTATAACTGAGGTGATGATTGTCATTGACCGTAAGAGAGTGCATAGTCACTATTCACTGCGGATAATCGGAAAGAGCAATGCAATTCGTCTTCAGGTATATTGGCAAAATCTTAGCCAAAAAAATTTTCAGGATATCTTAAAAATATTTCTTTGATGGGATAAAAAGGCAAAATTTGGGACTTATGTCATGGTGTTAGCACATTTCATCAACAAGGTTTTTTTTCAAATTAGAACCACAATTTCGGCTACTTTTGAGGGTGTAACAATATTTTATGAAGGAAATACTGAATCCCAGAGGGAAAAATCAAATTGTAGTTTTAAAAACTCATTACCAATAATTAATAATGAACTCTAGCTAAACAATAACAGGTGTTCTACTAATCCCAAACAGAAACAGATGGAAGCACAAATGTTTTATAAATAGTGGATACACGCAGAGCAATAAACTTGGCAGGAATTGTTTTATTCTCTAATTGTCAGTCAGAGTCAATGTCTCATCACTTGCATTTTCTCTAAATTAATATGCCCAGATTAAATCTGCGTTTCTCATTCCTTATTTTTAAAAACGCAAATCATACTGAGTGCTTTATCACTCCATCTTATATACTGCCTCACTGACAAAGATAATATTCTTGAACTCTCCTTTGATATATTTACAAAACATCATATAGCTTGTTAGATGAAACAACAGACATACCATACATGCTCCCCTTCTCCCCCTTCCTCCTTTCCAGCTCCTGGGCAAGAAATACTGATCTAAATATTCTTTCATTCCTTAAACCTCAAAATTATGAAAGTATGTGGATGAAATAAATTAAGAAGTCAATTAGTAAGTTAGTAAATGATATTTATTAAGAAATCTAATCTTACAGACCTTGGGAATTATTTTCAGGAGCTGGCATAGTAAATAGTGTTGTAGATCTGAACTTATAGACTTTTTAGAGCAGTGGTCCCCAACATTTTGGCACCAGGGACCGGTTTCATGGAAGATAATTTTTCC